ACATGCAACGCTGATACTATTAATATAGAGTAGTCTACTATATTAATATCTAGCAATAATATTATTGCGTTGTTAAGATATATTACTTTAAAGTTGTAAAAGTTAGTAGGGTAACCAACTTGCTTGTCTGACCAACTTGCTTGCCAACCATGTTAGTTAAACTAGGTATATTAAAATAGCTAGCAACACAAGGAATTATTGTAGAGCCTTTAGCGCTAGACACACAAGTACAGAATAGTAACACAGAACGCTCAGGGGGTGTAAACAAGGAGAAAGCTTGCGCAATGCAACTTGATGCCAACCTCTCCTAGGAACTGTGGCTAGAAATCACAAGGGCGGCAGTATACCTCTACAATTAAACGCTAAACTACGCAAACTATTAGAAAACACTATATAAAATATTCTTTACGTAAGTTACCTTTAGTAATAGAATAGTAATATTACAGCAAAAACCTAACCTTACGCACCTAAGAGTATATAGGTGCAAAGTATTTGCTATAACAGACAACACACATAGAGGTAAATTATATCTTTAATAACTAGACCTAAAGGCCTAGATTAGCTATCTAGTAGGCTACTAGTTATTAAACATCTTTTAAATCTACATACTATTACATAGTAAGGTAATAAGCACTTAAGATATTATATTTAATAAAGATATAGTATTTAATAGGAGAATTAAGGACCTTATAGAGAACCTTATGTCTAACACACTTAAAGAAATAGTAATATATATACAATCTATTAAGCTACTAACACCTACCTAGTAACTAGAAATAGATTCCTTTTATAAGGATAAAGCCCTAGCAGAGCTATTACTACAAGATAAAGTAGACCTACTAGGCTACTATTACAGACAGAAGATACAGGATAGCTATCCTACCCCTCTATTAATACCACCACCTGCAGCACTACTTACAGGCATTATAGCTAGTGCTTAAAGAACTGTAACGCAACAAGCGTCCTTAACTATTATCCTATAGGCAGCATTATTCCTTGCAGGAACCTAAGCTAGACGTGTTAGAACATATAGAGGAGAAGTTATAGACAAGGCTAAGATAATAAGAATGCTTACTAAAGGCTTAAAGCCCTACTAAAGTTAACTTCTACCTCTGCCTACATTCTAAACTAAGCTTAAGGATTACTCTATAGGTAAACTCTTTTAAGAAGCTAAGCAAGAGCACCTTACAAGCTACTAAGAAATAAAATTATAGTTAGAAGTACTACTTTAAAAAAGTAGACTAACAGGACAACAGATACTTAACTATATATAGGTATATACCTATAAGCTTAATAGACATTATTAACTACTAAAGTGTAAGGTGCAACTAGTAGTTAGAGGTAATAGACAACGTAATATTACATTATAAGACACCTATATAGCTATGCTTGCTAGCTAATCCTTTCAAACAATAATAGCTATAGCAGCTTACTATAATATAGAGCTTAAACAATACAACGTTACTAACGTGTTTGTTTATGCTATAATAGACAGAGAGGTCTACATAAGGATGCCACAAGGCTATTAGAAGCCTAGCACAATACTGCAAGTAAACAAGGCACTTTACAGCCTGCACATCTCTCCCCTCCTCTAGCAGAAGAACTTTACTGTAACACTAAAAGCACTAGGTTTCTAGACTATGCCTTACAAACCCTGCTATCTAACTAAGGGCAGTATTATTATCTTCTTTTATATTAATAATATTATCCTTGCGTATAATAAATTAAAAGAGTAAGAGGTAATGTAGACAATTAGCTATGTATAGAGTAAGTACACCTGCATAGGAGGGCACAACCTATAGTAGTTCCTTAGTATAGAGATTATACAAGACTAAGCAAGTAAGAAAATCTACCTATCTTAGGCAGCGTACTTAGACAAAATTAGTTGCCTTAC